GTACAGAGGCATCCCCTGCAATGCCTCGACGGCTTTTTGGTAAACCGGCTGGGTAACGCCGTAGCATCCACGGCCGAACTCGTATCCCCAACGACAGAACCATGACTTGCCGTTCGCCAGTCCGTGGAGAAGCCTCAACTCCATTCCTCGTTTCTTTGAAACGTCACATAAACTCACTTTCCTAAGAAAATCATCAAACCAACGGATGTCACAGTAACGAATAAGTGGCGAGAAAAGATAAAGCAACAAACACAGGACTGACCTATCTCGGAGGCCGGTGCAAAGACGATCCCAAAAGTCCATGATTTGATGTCCGGCCAAGTCAGATCCAGTCTCCACCCCATTGATGCATAAGAGATGTCCGAACCCATTGCAGTGGAACACACCGTGCATGACATGACCCTGTAATTCCACCAAACTAAGTTCTTCTTTGGATGGATGATTTGGGTCGATGCAATTAGCGTCGCAGTTGAAAAAAGCGGCGACGGTATCCTTAGACGGCAGCATAGAGTGGTATTTCTTATTGCAGATCATATGATGTCCCCATCCTACATGCATTAACTCGGTAAAAACAGAGGATAAAAAATTATCAAATTCATCTTCTTAGAAGTTTAAAAATATTGTTAAGGACTTAAACAATTTAATGTTTATTTTTTTTGTTAAAAGTAAAAATTATAAACACTTGTATTAAGGTTAAATTCTTTTATTTGCACCTTACATTTTTTTTTTACTATCAATACTCTTAAGGATTTTTACTCATAGTCAATAATTTTTTATAATTTAAAACTTATAAAAAAAACTCAAAAATTAACCGTTAAATATCTTATTGATACTTTGATTTTGTTAATAATTTAATATCTTTTTTGAATTTTAAATTATAAAAAATGTTGACCAAAAATAAAAATTATGGAAGGTGTTGAGTGTAAAAAAACCTACACATGATATAAATAAGAGGTTTGGCCTTGTATTAATGAAGGGCATAATTTATTTTTTTTTAAAACAAAAGAGAGTACCAATTGAAAAAACGTTAAGAAACCAAACGAGAGCTAACCTTATTCAAATGACGTTTAAAAAAGGTTAAATTACTAATTTGATACTTCAACATCTAATTTTAAACTAGAATATAGTCCTTGATGGTAAAGAAAAATACCAAAATTATATTTAAA